TATGTTTGGTTGGAGGGGAGGGAAGGGAACATTTCCCCATTTTAGCTCCCCTCCAAATTGAGGGTTTTTGAAAGGGAGTCAAATTTTTGGACCATTATACCCTTATAGATTTTTTAATATTCCACTTCTACCCATAAAATATATTATTATAATATTTATTTCGAATAAAAAATATATTATCCTAAGTAAAAAATAAAAAAATACGTTATTATAATTAAAAATATATTATAAAAATATTTAAAAATAAAAATTATTTAAATAAAAAATTATAATGTTATAAAATTATTTTTTATAAATATATTATTTATTAAATATATTTTTAAAGCTGCAAAAAAAGATAGCCTAAAAGAATAAAATTTCATTTTTCTTAGACCATATAAAATTTGTTAATTTGATTATTTTAAATATATTATTATACTAATTAGAATAAAAAATTAATGTACCAATTTTTTAATACACATATTAACATGATAAGACTGAATTTTTATTAAATTATATAATTTAAATTAAGATGTAAATTAATTTATATAATATATCAATAAAAAAACATAAACTAATATGTAAGGGTAAAATAGTAAATTGATTATTACTATTCCTCTTCTCCCTCCTTGAACCAAACAAGGGATCATTAAATATCCTCCCCTCCCTTCTATTTTAATCAAACTAAACAAGGTGAGGATAAAACCTCCCCTCCCCTCCCCTCCCCTACCCCTCCCTTACTCTCCCCTCAAACCAAACAGGCCCTAAGGGGTCAATTGCTTAGTATAATAGTTAATTTAATATTTAATTTAGTATTAAATATAACACCCTAATTTATTTATTTTTTTATATTTATCCATATTTTGATAAAGTAATCCTAATAATAGTTATATATATTAAATATTTTATCAAATAATATATTCTAACTAATATATATTATCAGAAAAATATTTTGAAAAATATTTTAAAAAAGATAATATCTATTTATTACAAATAACTAATTTTATTAATTTTTTAATCTATTTAAATTAGTTAATTAATTTTTATATTAAAAAGCGGAGATTTTTTTTTTTTTGGGGCTTGATCCGGCGGTAGCATGAAGCAACTATACTTTTAAGAAGGAATCACATTAGCTTGGAAGATGTGAAACAAAAAAATCAAGCACTTGGTGGGGGATATTATTTCTTGTCACTGGAATTAAAAAAACACCCAGCATTTCCATCAAACTCTAGGTTTTTTATAACAAATTATTATTATTTTATAATAATAAAATATTATTATTTTATATTATTTAATTAATTTTTTAAAAAAATTTGAAATACTATCTTTAGTCCTAGTTATAAGAGCCAGTTGACTAATTTGAAAATATTAAGGAAGTAAGTTGAGTTAGTTATTTGTCTTAAATAGCTGTTGTATTTCCTAAAATATCGTTACTAATTAATTGTATTGACTAGAACTCTTATTATTAGAAGAGCTACTACTTTGGAAAAAAAAAGTATAAATACGAGAGACAAAGTGGATTGAGATTTTATATTTAAAACCAAAATAAAAATCAAACAGGTTCTTATATTAAAAACCGGAAGTAGTAATAATTTTTATATTAAAATAATATTTAGGATGTTACACACGTGCCTACAAAAAAAAATCCATTGTCCATGTCATATGTAAAAGTTTTCTTCGGCTATGTTTGGATTATCGTTTAGCCTGCAAAACGCATATTGGAAAGCGTGAAACCTGGGTTGGAGAGTTTTTTGAAGAAAAAGATTGTTTGGGATAGCGTTTTGTTCCATCGCCACCCCCACTTCAAACTGACTTTTATCCAATGAAACTTTTTCTAACTTTTGCCTTCGGCTGCGTTGCAATGAGTTGGACCCACTAATTTTTTTTTCCCTTCATGTCCCTTGTTGGCGATACCTGTGCAGGCCAACACATTTATTTTTTTTTCTTACCAACACTAAACAACACATTTATATTATTTATTATTTTTTTAATTTGTATTTTTTAATTTGTCCATTATATCTATTTAATTAATTATATACAATGTGTTTTCAAATTTTTCTCGGCAGCAAATATTTTTATTTTATAATCTCACAAATAAACTATTTTTATTTTATCATAATAATTTTAGGTATTTTTTTAAACTATTATCACGTTAAAAACATAAAATATCCAACATTACTATTCAATAAAGTCTATGTCATTTTCAGTCATTTTACAACTGAACTCACTTTTCTATTAATCATCTAAAAAAATTTTATTTTTCCAACTGACTTTTTATAAGCACCTATCTAAACATAAATCGCATTACACTAACTGACTTTTACTTTAATTTTAGTTACAAAAGTCAGTTAGGCTAAAAGTCAGTTTTGTCCAACGCCAATCCAAGCACACCCTTCATCGTATATATCAAATGCCAGATCTGGTCGTCTATATTAGTAGTAAAAGTTGGAGCATTAGTTGGAAATATTGCAAAAAATAGTTGGAAATGATAAAAGATAAGTTGAAAAATCATAAAATAGGAAATTAAGAGGGGGGAAAAAACCCAATAAGCTACTTAAAACTCTTAATAACTCAATTAGAAATGCTTTGATTTATATATACTATTTGGGAAAATTAATCTCCCAATTCTTACAGTTTTCTTTAATTTTGAATCAGGTACCTAGATTATTTTTTCTTTTTATTAGATCCTTTAAGTTTTTTTTTTGTTAGATTTATTCGTCCTTCTGTTAAAAAGTTTGTTAAAAAGACATCACAGTGTTGTCTTGAGAGCACATTTAATCCCAAGGTCAATCCCCACACCCATCCTTTACTTCCTCGCTTCCCCTGTATCCAAGTTTTAAAACTCAAGTGTAAAAATATTAATGAAATTATTATAGTAGGAAAAATTAATCTCCCAATCCTTATAGTTTTCTCCAATTTTAAAGCAAATTCTTGAATTATTTTTTCTTTTTATTAGATCTTTTTAAGTTTTCTGTTAGACTTATTGGTCCTTCTGTTAAGAAGTCCATTAAAGAGACCACCACAGCATCGTCTTCAGAGCATTGTTTTATCCTAACATCAACCTCCAACAACCCCTCACTTTCCTGCTCTCTTTCCCAAAACGTCTTTAATCATTCTCCTCTCCACAACCCAGACCCCACCAACTCCTAGCCTCTTCATCCATCTTCCTCTTTAAACTTTCTCATCGAAAACCAAAATCCCAATGTCTCTCTTTATCCATCCTCTTTCTAAACTCTCTCGCCAAAAAGCAAAAGCCCAATATCATAAACGTTTCGTCCAACAAACCTTGAAAACAAATCTTGATGGCAACACTAATATTTTCTTCTTCTGGGGAGTCTAGGTGCATCAAGAATCCCAAGTTTCTTCAACACGCATGTGTGAATTTTTTGTTGTTGTGGTAGAGAGAGAAGTCCAGTGATATCATCCTTGCACTCACATGCAAACTGTTGAAGTACACACCACTTTAAGGTGAATAATTTTCTTGTATTAGAAGTCAGCTTATACCAGAAATCTAAAAACCAATATGTTGATTCTTTTTTATAATACACGTTTGATAATAGTAATCGGAAGCTTATGTAATCTGCGAGTAATCCTAGGATGGCCAAATAAATGGCCGGATTTCTGTTGCATAACTCATCAGAAGCATATCAATAATTTTATTATATTATCGGCACATGGGTTCCCCTCCGCTCCAGAAATTTGAGCCTGCACTACGCTTAAATTTTTTTTTCCGATGGCATCCGTTCTATTAGCCTGGGTAAAAAAAAAACACACACACACCCACATTGCTCACAATACTAAAGGGCATTCTCATTTTATTTCAATTGCCTTTTTTTTTTGTTCTAGGTTTGTGAGACCTCTCAAAACACTTTAAAGCGGATTATCTTTGATTTCCAACTGAATATCCACTATTTTCAACCCATATATGATATTTTCAATAGCCGTTGTATCATTTTATAGCAAACATCTAGTCTTTAGAGCTTAAAATTTTTCAATGGAGTTATTTTTCAACTGAATCTCTATGCATTCCCAACCTGAGTTTGAATCTTTTTTCTCTTTATATATTCAACAACTTCGCATAGTTCATAGTCGGAATGTAAACCACAGTTAACGCATACAGTCGTTGGAACTAAAAACCTACGCTAACAATACTTGCAAAGTAGAAAATACTCATAATTTTAGTTTACTGTAAAAATTCAGTCCAAGTCTAGCCAGAGCGCAAGCTTTTCCAACTAGATTACCGTTATTTTTCAACTGAATCTTTATGTATTCCAACCAACCTTTGACATTTTCAATAGCCATAAAACTGTGCAAATTAATTAAAATTTTCCAACTAGGTTGCTCTTTCTTTCCAACTGGACGTCTCCATGTTACAATTCCACTTGGTGTATTCACTATTACTAAATAGTCATCTTGTCAATTTGTAGCAAAAATTTAGTCAAAATCTAAAAGCTATCCATCTTGGACTTGGAAACAGACAGCGAAAATTGGGGAAATATGTTGCCATAGCAGAACATTTTCAAATTGAAAGTTTCGGACAATTGCAGAATATTTACATTGCCACACTTAAGACATCTCCGTTTGTCTGTTTCTTTTCCTTAAGTCTAAAAGCATTACCACGTTCTTGATGTCAATACACGACAGCTTCTACAGGTAAGCAAAGATCTTATTTACAAATCATAACTCCATAAATAAGAAGCATGCATAGAAACAGAAACATATGAGCCCCAGAGAGAGTATTAAGCATCAATGAAAAAGCCCAATAGCAAAGACGTTATCAGAAACTAACAAGCATTCACAGAAACATTACTAAGGAATGATATAAATTAACAATATAGACAGAAAAGGCCGCAAGACAAGTCCACAAGCATTACAATGTTCTTGTTGTCTATGCATGGCAAACTTCAATACATTAGCAGAGTCTTATCAGAAAATAACAAGCACACATGGAAACATAAACACTTCGGCCTTTAAGTAATCATGACTTAATGAAAATGCCCCATAGCATAAAAACTATGGAGTCAGTGAGTTGAGGAAGACGAATGGCATGGTGATGCTGAAAGAGATGATAAGTAAGGTTTTGGTGGAACTTGCAAGGTCTCAACTCTGCCTTCAAGCATCTCCACCACTTTACTCATCATTGGACGGTCTGAAGGGTTAGTTTGTATGCACCATAAGCTTGTGATCACCATTTGTCTTATCCTCTCTTTGTCACCTTCATTTCCAATGCTCCTCAGCGCAAGTTCTTCATTCAATTCTAGCCGCTTGTAAATCCAATGAGGAAAATATATTTCACTGCTATTATCAACATTGACGTTGACATTCCTTCTTCCTCCAACCATTTCAAGAATCATCATCCCAAAACTATAAACATCTGACTTGTGAGAGACTACACCAAAATTTCTAGAAATTACCTCGGGAGCAATATATCCTATGGTTCCTCGAGCACACGTCATAGATACCACACTCTCATTTCTTAGGCATATTTTAGCTAGTCCAAAGTTTGAGATCTTTGGGTAAAAGTTCTCACCAATAAAATATTGTGAGGTTTTATGTCGAAATGTAATATCCGAGTGTTACATCCTTTGTGCAAATACTCTAATCCTCGTGCAACACTGACTGCAATTTGATGCAATATTTCACAGCTCAGTTGGAGATTATCATTCAGGAGGTTTGCTTCATTTTCAAAGATGAATTTCTCTAATGATCCATTAGCCATAAACTCATAAATAAGTGCCTTCTTGGACCCTTCAAAACAAAATCCTAAAAGAGTGACGATGTTAACATGAGAAGTCTTGCTTATACTTGCTACCTCGTTGATGAATTCCTCTCTGTTACCTTTTGTTTCATTCAAAACCTTCACAGCAACTAGAGATTTGTCCGTTAACTTCCCTTTGAACACACTTCCATAGCCTCCTTGCCCTAATTTTTCTTTGAAACAACTGGTCATTTTCTTTATCTCCGAGTAGCTATATCTTTTTGTGGCAAGTGATCCATGACTCTTTAGAAAGGCCTCAAAATCTCGATGAGTTTTAGATTTGTTTTTTCGGAATAATGTCCTTCTAAACAAGTAGATTATAAGAACAAAAACTCCTACTGTTACAGCTGCCAAAACTGTGATTAACAAGATTAGAAGAGGTGAGATTTTGCAAAATTTTATGGCATTAGTGAGTAACATAAATACTGATTAGCTATCCTATTGTTTCCGTAAAGACTGTTTCAACTATGTTTATAAGTGGTAAACTGATTAGATGGACTACTTTTTTTATGACCTGATCAAAAAGAAAAGAAAATCTCTGTTGTGAATTATTATCTAAAAGTGATAAATTGATGGAAATTAAACAGCTAAAAAAGAAGATGAAACTCGAATTGGATGGATTTAAATTTACAATTTATAAGCATGAAATGAACTAAATGATTGTGTAAATTTACCTAGTCCAAGTACCACCTTGAAAATTTTTCCCCTACGCTCTGCAATCAAAGCAAGAATTAAGCCGAAGTCAAAATTAAAATAATTAGTTAGCCTTCAGAAAATGATTCTATTTTTATGTCAGAAAAATAGAGAAATCATGTTGGATATATTTGTATAATCACCAAAAAAAAAAATCACACCTTTATTCTGCCAGAAACATGGTGTCATCTTTTATCTTTAAAAATGAAGTCACAATGATAAGAGACTCATAAAACATTGCAAACATATTTTATATAAAATTGAATTTAACGAAAACGATAAAAGAAAATGAAAACTGTATTTTTGAACATGTGAAGTCGAGGATATCAAATATATGAACTACAAAAAAAAAGTAATGAATTAGTGATAAAATTTAGTCATAAAATTTCCGTCATAAATCGGTTTAGCGACCAAATTCCACAACTAATCAACTAATGACGTTTTTTTTTTATAACTTTTGTGACAGAATTTATAAAATCCGATATTAAATTTCGTCCGTAATTATTGTTTTTGAAGATTGCGAAGTCAAGTTTTGTAGTAGAAAACAAGAGAATCACTTGAACTCGGAAGAAGGGAAAAAAAAGTGGCTAACATCAAACTAAAGACATAATTTAGCTCGTTGCATGTTTGTCTAAGTTTAAAAAAAAAAAAAAAAAGAATCACCACTTCGAAAGAATATACCTCCTCTGGCGCAGTAGAAGTTATTGTTCCTGTCAAGTTGACATTGGCCTCCGCTGCTGTGGCACTGATCACAAGCATCAGATATTCGTAGCTCCAGAGTCATTTGAGCAGATAAGAACGATTGAAGGTCAGTGGTATCAGGCAGGTCTTTTTTTGGAAGCACAAGATTTGAACATGATGAGAAATGGCTTTTGTTGCGAGGCTGAGGATCAGAGAGCAGGCGGTAATGATAGATATCGAAGTTTGCACAGGGATGTTTAATAAAACCAGAGGGGGTGCTGACATTGAGTTGGTGGTTGCATTTAAACAGGGTTATGTTGTATTTAATATCAAAAGAAATCAAAGGAGAGCTTGCAGGGATTGAGATATTGTGGTTGAAGGCTTCACAAGAACCATTGGATTGCAAACGATTGTGTAGATCCTGGTCAAAAACCGTAATCAGACTTTGCTGCAGAAAGACAGCCTTAAGCTGCAAGAATGATCTTGATCCATTCTTCTCTAGTTCAATCGGTTTATCTGAAGCATCACAGTTATGAACAACCATTAAGCCACAGTCCGGCAATTCTGGCTTGGTGAAAGGGAGCTGGAGGCTTCCAAGTTCTCCGCAATTAAAAGATCCAAGACACTTAATATGACTCGCATTTCCATACCCAACTGAAAGAAGTAAAAGATGAGAAACCAAGAGGAAACAAAACTCAAGAACCACAGCCATGATTCCCTACTTTTTTAGCAAAACAATAGAGGCCTCCAACAAGAGTTAATAATTCCTGTTCGGATTCTGTTTCTATCTTCTCCGCCGTATGTAATCCGCAGTTCCAACTTGAATTTTTTGATGGGGCGGGTTGACTTGGTAAATTACCATGCAAGACTTTGTGGAAGAGACCTGAAAGAAAATAAGAGGTACTCAGTCAAGGACCATATTTCAAAAAATGACCCTGTTCTGATCTGGTTGGGCTCTCCATGCCATGACTGCAAACTAGTCACCACCAGAGCTTAGGTGACTTGCAAATTAAAGTCGAAGATTGGTTAAATGTCCTTGGCCAAAGGGGAACCGGCTTTCCCCCACCACCCATACCATTCTCTTCCCCTCCTCTACCCAAAACTACACCGTTTTGAGGGTAAAAAATGAAGGCTGATCTCTGTTTTCCCCCTCCAAACGAATATCCTCGAATCAGATTTTTTTTTTATTAGCTTCTAATATCCTAAAATAATTTTTAGTAAACCTGACACCCAAAATTTTTTTTCAGTAGTGCCCAGTATCTAGCATGTTGCACTTTGAACTATTTTTTCAATAATACCCAGTATGCTAAACTAATTTTTAGTGAATTCAGATCCTAAACACAATTTTTTAGTGTATATTCACCCACAATTATTTTTTAGTAGTATCCGGTATTTAAAAAGTTGTACACTGAACTATTTTTAAATGTATCAATTACTTTATTATTTTTCAATAACAACATCTAATATCCTAAAATTAGTTTAAAATACCATGTGCTATTAAAAAAATACTGCAGATTTAATTTATAAGATACTGGTTGCTACTGAAAAAATATTTTAAAGCATTAAATGCACTAAAAAAATCATGTTAAGATATTGAATGCTACTTCAGAGTAATGAATATTGATTCGAGGAAGGAAAAAAAGACAAAAGAAAGAGGATCAGCCCCAATTTTTACACTTAAAACGGTGTAGTTTTGGGTAAAGGAGGAGAGGAGAATGGTAAGCACAGAAGAGGAAAGCTGGTTTCAGCGAAAAGAAGATTGGTTAAACGTGTTATGATGCATGCTGCGAAAATAGCGTCTCAATTCTATGGAATGCTGATCAAATATGGATTCAGGAAACAATAAATATGTAACCTTGTGCAACAACAACATAAGATGTTATAAAATTATAATTAATTGCAATCACTTTTTGGTTGTAAAAATCTTTGGCATGTTCCAAATTTTCTAGAGATCTCATTAGTGTCTCCGAGTTTCTTCCTTCTTCATGTTAATAGATATTTTGAGTTTCATCTCATAATCTCAAGTTAATATACACGAAGGAGGTTCTCTTAATAGACACGATCAAATCAGATTGAACTCTTTTGATCTTGTAGATTTTACAACCGAAGCACAAGCATTGCCAACTTTTATTTTTTGTACGTCAAGAATAAAGTTTAACTTATTGTATTTGGTTCCACATTAAAAATCACAAAAAGTTGTGGTATTTGATGAAAGCAAATATCGAACAAATACACTAGAACTGGTCAGGCTTTCAAATCCTCAATTCATCACATTTTTTTGACACTCTTAAATAATTGCAATTCCAGTTCATTGCAAGACTTGAAGCTCAAACTACGTGTATTCTAAATAAAAAGGACACTAATAATCAGTTCCTTTTTTGTGTGCCTGATGGAGAATAGAAGACCTAGAAAATCTAGAATTATGTTATTTTAAGTTTAATAATGATCTATATTTTTTAGCCAAAAATCTATATTTTTAAAAGTTAGGCTTTTAAGGTTATATCTTCTAGATAAGTTTACCTTCAAACATGTGATCAATAGTTAAGTTGATAACAGAGGGCCATGCATTATATACGACGAGAATCTCTAATTAACCAGTGCAACTGTCACAGTTCACCGATCATTTAGCATCTCAAACGGGGCTGTCATTAACTCATTGCAGAGGTTTCTCCTAAAAATATGCTAGTATAAAGGTCATCTTCCGGGTCAAAATCAGATAAGACAAAAAGTAGAGGGCAAAAGAATGTATTAATGATGAAAAGGTATGAGAGAGCAGCTAAAAAGTTGCGAGCAGGATGGATGAGAAAGTAACTGAGAAGGATGGAAAGAGAGAACTTTGGGTCAGGTTTTGATTTTGAGTGAAGAAGAAACAATTATGCTCGGTGCTTTTGACACGAGATAAATAGAAGGAAGGAGAGGAGGGGAAAAATTTTGACGACCTTAATTTAAAAACTTGAAGAAATGTGATTAAAAAAAGCTTTTGATTAATTTTTATTATTTTTTATGTTATATCTTCTTTTTATTAAAACTTCAAAACCTAATTTTTCCAATTTTTTAAATCAAACTTATTAAAATTTTCATCTTAATGTGTATGTACACAGAATTATGTTTATCTTATTAACTATTCTTTCGAAGTCACAGATCCCTGTTTTCATTTTCAGCAGTGTTCTTTGTAATTGTTGTGCTATTTAATATTATTTCTGATCAAGAGATTTTGTTTAACTTTTATTTTGTCCTAAATATAAAATTTCAATATACTTTGTCTTTTATATTTATTTATTTTTTTAAAATAATCTTTATAACAATGATAGTTTTAGCCAATACATAGTAAAAATATTTTAGAAAAAATAACATGTATTTATTATAAATAACTAATATAACTAATTTTTTCAACCTCCTTTAATTAGTTAATCATCTCTTATATTAAAAACCAGAGATAGTATTTTGTAGTAGAGGTACTCCTCCGATTCTTAATATAGAATCTAATTAATGAGTTGATTTTGATCATAAATATAAGACCTATATCATATTTATCAGTTTTTTTTTCTAAATTATCCCTATGGATACTCCCTCAACTATAATCAAATAGAAAAGAGAGCGAGGATATTAAGAAAGATTATTATAATATTTTAGAAAAATATATCATATTTTTTATAATTAATTAACTTACGTAACTTCCTTAATCTAATCAAACTAATTAAATAGGTCTTATACTAAGGACTGGAAGAGTATATCAATAACCTTTATATCCTTATGTATGTGTGATGCTACCAAATATTAAGATGCACTGCAAGTATACAGGTCGCAAAAATAGATAGTGGCGAATCAAGATCGATCCCACATAGACTCAGATAATAATGATTAGGCAATAAAAATTTTCTTTTCATTTAAGTTGAGTAAATCAAAATTTCATGGAATTGAGTAAAATGAAATATAAATGAACAAAGCAAAGCTTTATCAAATTACTAGAACAAATATTAAAAGGTCAACCTAGAGTTACTAATCCCTTACTAGCTTCTTAAACCACGTTCTGCTGAATTAATTAGTTTTAATGTCAATTTTGTTAATATAGAGTTCAATTAACCATAAATGCCTGTCTGTCCACTTATAACCCTCTCTTAAATTAATTATGTAATCTCTCATACAATTATCCAAGAGGGTAAACAATTCGGTCTCACTCATCAATGATTATACGGGACAATTAGGTATATTTTTATCCTAATTATAAATTAGATTATCATCCAATCTCATATTATTTAATCTAAGAACTTAATCAAAATCCTTTTTGTCAAGGAAAATTTTAATTCTCAAATTCATAATCAATGGTGGTCAGTCATCAAATGGATAATAAAGAACAAGATAAGTAACCAAAATCTAACGTTAAGCATCCTCAATTCAGGAAAAACAGATCTCAATCACTAGCAAGTTTATGATTCTCCTAGGCTGTAAAGAGAAAATTAGCTACACGTGAATTTAATCAGTCTCAGCTCTAAAGCAACAATCTCACATTCGAAAACCATAATGAAATGCAGGAGTAAAGGAAGGAGGAACCGAAACAGAGGAACAGGGAATCAAAATATTGCTCAGGTGTAGCTGGAGTGTTTCCAGATTGAAGATGATGAGCAGTTGCTCTTCTTGCTCATCGGGTAACCGACAGCGCCTCTCTCTTTTCAGATCAGAAAATCACCGTGCCCAGTCTCTCCTCTCCAGCTCCGTCGAACTCGTCCTCCTCAGAACCGTTCTCTGCAACGGCGTCCCTCTAGTCCAGAACCAGCATTGGCGACCTCCTCTCGTCTTTGACCTCCTCTGCTGAACCTGTAGACCAGAGCCCCCAAACCGCAACCTTCAATGTTCGCCTCTCTCGCTCCCTGAACCAATCGAACCAAAGGGGGAAGAAGATGATACCTCGACAGTCTGGCCTCGAAGACCATGATCCCCCAATCCCTTAGGTCTCCCCTGATTCAAAAATTCTTCCTCCAAAACGTTGTCGTCTCACACTCCACAGTCAGCCGTGCTCCTCATGATCCCATAAAGAATTCCCTTGCTGTAGCAAGAAGAAGAAAATAAAACAAATAAAAGGAAAACTAAAATAAAAAAGGCAAATAAAATAAAAGGAAAGGAAATAAACTATAAGAAATTGAAATAAGATAAGATAAAATCAACTAAATTTTAAACTTAATATTAATTATTTTTATTTAGTTTAAACTAAGGTATTTATAATAAAATCCCCCAAGTAATGCTCAAAATCAAATCTTCCAATTAACTCTTAGAAATCTTTCAAAATACATTAATAACTCTCCAAAAATCACTCAAAGTATTCTTTAAATATATTAAAAATAAAGAGTATCAATGCATATCTGTACTTTTTTTTTTGTTACAAAAAGTTTAGGTGAGTTGGGTTCCGGGGACTCATCAGGACTAGGGCATGCCTCCAAACTCAGAGAGTGTTTATAGAAGTACTTACAGATCACCCACCAACAAAATTCTTACATCGACAGTGGGATTCAAACCCACAATCTTGTGGGTTATAAGTTGACTTCTTACCAACTAGACCAATTCTTGTTGGTTGCATATCTGTACTTAATTTGAGTGTAATAGGGTATGCGGCTTTGGAGGGAATTAATCAAATAATGAATCTTGTAGGTGGGCTGAAATAGCGTAACGTTTGGTGGCATAGTAAGACAATCGGATTGATTTTTGAATTAAAAGCGA